ATTTATTTATTTATTTATTCTTTCATTCATTCGATTATTATTCAAACAGCAGAGAGCAGTAGAATGCAGCAGCTAACTGAGCATCACCGGAACAAAAGTAAGGAAGAAGAAACCAGTGCGCTCTGTCCAGTCAGTGTTTGTGAGTTGGTTATGGCCATTTTTCTTCCCTGTAACATTTAATTTACATACTGTTACGCCCCTTTCGCTCCCAGACATACCTCTGTCACATTTCGACACTTAAAGTGTTTTTTTTTTTTTTTTTTTTTTTTTTTTTCTCCTTTTTGTACGGGCAGTCGCTAGACATTCCTGCAGTATTTGGTTCCCATAAAGCAAGAGTGACGGAATTTGACGGGACACCAGGTGTTTCCTGCTCCCTGTTTGTTAGCTGAAGCTTATGGGAGGTTTTGTCCTCTGGAAACCAACTTCATGCCCTCGCTGGTAAGTGTCTGAATGTATCTGAATTCTCTAGACAATATTCTTTTAAACGGTCTCGTTAGCATGAGCTAACTAACAGAGAGGACGTTAGCTGAGGTCCAGTCCTGTTATTGTTACTGGAGTTGCTGTTTTATAGTACTATCTCGTCTTAAACAATAAAAAGAGAGTTTAGTATCCGCGTTGGCTGCCTGCGTGGCCAGGGAGGCTCCCAGACTGTTAGTTTACCTTGAGGACAGGTCGCTTAGGCTGGGGCAGACTGCCTCTGCTTTACAGCCTCACTGAAGCAAAAGATTACAGCTGAGCTATAGTTTTTAGTTGGCTACTGTAACAAAGCATCAGTTGTCTGATGCCCAACATGTACAGTGTCATGTACATGTTGGGAAAATGTTTAATGTTTACCCATTAAACATTGAAACCAAATTTTGTTGATCATGATGGATTTATAAAAGCAACAAAATGGTTAAACAGTCAAAGGGTGAATACTTTTTATTGGCACTGACTGGCAATATGAATGCCATTATTGAAAAAAAATGCAGTGTCAAGTTTGCTACAAGATTTCATGTAAAATGAAATGTTGAACAGAAAACTTCCACTGGACACTACCTGAACACAGCCTTTCTATGGTGAAACATGGTGGTGGCTGCATAATGTTGCAGGGAGTCTTCTTTGGGGACCAGGAGTCTGTTCCAGAGTTAAAAAGGCATCTGAAAATTGTCTTGATTATTGTATGCAAATTGATCACAGATGTCAATATTATTATTGCTTTGTTAAAAATATATGACTCAGGACCTGTAGCTTCCTCTGGGTGTTCTTCCACACAGATAAACACATTCATCCACCATCGCTAAAATCACATACTCCAGACAGAAGTCATAGAACAGAGAACAGGACCTGAGATGAGTCAGTGATTCAGACACTCATCAGGGGAAAGCCCTCAATTAAGACCAGAACTGCATGATGTTGGTTGACAAATAATTCTAGAGATGACGTGACATCATTTGGAAGAAATGCACATTTTCTCACTCTTCTCTTCTGCTCTGACATTCTGATGTCACCAGCACTCTGCAACCTTTAGCATCTGTAGCGCTGTCATCTGGGTCAGATGGAAATATTTACTGCAGCAAAAATATCTATTGGCATGCAAAGTGCCCATTCCCAACACTTCCAGTATAATAGCCAACAAATATGATATTCCAAATATTTTTTGGAGTGTTAACATTATGATGATATATTTCTTCAAACTGAGACCTCTCCCTAGATTTGACACCCCTTGTGCCTCCTGCCTCCTTCACTGTTGTGAAGTCTTAAAAGTTGTTCAGTTGTTCATCAAATCTTAAGTTATTCTGATCAAATCAACATATTAAGTTAACATGTTATTTTTTTCTCATTTGATGTCACATCATTGTTTTTTTTCTCCAGAATACACTGTAATAACTATCAAATCAACTTACATTGATATTGCTAAAAAATTTAATTTATATATTGATTAGCTTGTTTCATGACTGTTTTTTTCTGATCTTAGAAACTAGGTCACTTGAAAACAGACTTTGTGTTTTGTAGCCGATTCGTAAAAATAACACAAGTTGCTTCCTTGGCTGCACAATATATGGCAAATATATCTTTATCACAACATCAATGTGCACAGTATAGTGTTGGCTAATTTATTGTAAGTGCTATGAATTCACCCTTTGATTTCATAACAGTTTTATATTCATCCCGTTGGATGGATCCTTCTTGGAGTAGATGCTCATACCTGATGCAGATGTTGGTGACCGAGATGCTAAAGATCACAGAGGCACTGGGGGAACAGATCTTTTTTATTTTTCTAACAATAGGTTTGGCTTGGCTATCAATTACTATTTAGCACCAAAGGTGATTATTAGCAAAATTAGTCATTTACATAAAAATTACCAAGTTGGGAGGACCACCTGATTATCAGAAAACAATAACCAAAATAGATGTAGTCAACTCCCCTGCCCCACCCAGTTATTTTCACAGAAAACCCCCCACACAGACATAGAATGATAAAAATCATCATACGGTGACATCACACCTCACACCGACTGGATTCTTGTCAAACGTGAAGACTGGAAGTGAGCAGCTATTAAAGTGGGCAGCCTAGCTCTATTTCATAGCAGTCTATATAAAGGTCAAAACCTAACAAAAGGACAGCTTTTCACTTTTATATCACTTTAGAACTCCTCTCCTGCTCCATCTTCTGTTTTGTCCATCTTCACTGTTACAAGAACAAAAACCTCTGCCACTGGGATCCTGTGCTATGATGACATATTAGTGACTCTACTGGAGAAACAATGTGACAGAAAACTTGTGCAGCTTAGGAACTGTAACCTTCTTGCTGGTAGGTAGCTTGTACCTATTTATGTGGGCAACTGTGGCTCTGTGAGTAGAGTAGTCGTCTTGCAATCGGAATGTTGTAGGTTCAATTCCAGCTTCCCCCTGCCACATGTCAATGTGCCTTTGGGCAAGGTACTTAACCCCAAATTGCCTACCGATCTGCATATCAGTGTGTAAATGTGTGTGCAAATGGGTGACTGTAGTGTAAAGCACTTTGAGTGGTCAAAATGACTGGAAAAAGCACTTTACATAGTGCTTTTTCAGTCCATTTACTTGGAGAGTAGTTTTAAAAATCTTGATCAATAAATGCTCTCTTTTTGATTGGTTGTAAGTCTAAAGCAAGTCTAGTTTTGTTAATGAACATCTTTTATGTGTATGTCTATCTGGGCTCACTCCTCTAGCCCACCATGAACCTTTGTTCCTTGATGCTCCAGCTGAGGCCATCAGTGGGTATTCACCTCCTCTGCATCCTGCTGCTCCTCTCCAGCATCTACCTCACAGCGCTAGCTGTGTCTGAGTCAGGTAAGCATCCTCAAGTCCAGTTCAATGCAGCAGACTCCAACTGCACCACAGGATGCAGGAGCTGTCAGGTGTGCTGCTACTGGTATTCCATCCTAGCAGATGTTATACAATTTTTTTCTTTGTTTCCAAGGTAATGAAATGACGAGCAAGAATGGAATAGCTAAAGGCTCCTCAGACTCCACTGTTGCAGTAGATACTGAGGAAAAGAGCAATAGAACTAATACATTGACTAAAATCCTCTTCAATGAAACTGAAACATCTGTAGGCCAATCTCAGCAGTTGTCATCCACCTCTTCACCCACGACTGCTGTACGTACCCAGTCTGCAGGTAATGGTTCAGCTGAGAACCTCCTTTCATCACCTATTGCAGAACCTGTTGGGACTTCTCAAACTGTTTTACAATCAACTAAAACAACTTCTGAAGCCCCAGCAACAACTCTGTCCAACAAAACACCAGCAAAAAAAACACCACCATTGTCCACCAAACCACCGTCTGCAACTCAAACTTCAACACTACCACCCACCAAACCATCGTCTACAACTCCTACTTTAACATTTCTGCCCACCAAGACACCTACAACATCAAAAACAGTTGAAAACTCTCCAAATATGACTGCTACGATCACCGTTTGGCCCACAGGCAAGAAAAGTTCATCATCATCATCTGTGGTACCCACACAGAAGTCAATTGCCAGGAAATCAACTCTTTCACCCACATCTTTCAGCACAGAAGCCACAGCCATGCCTCCTAGCAGAACCACTACTTCTGGCGGCCGCAGTAAGTCCGCTGCTTCTGCAACAAGGGTTCCGGTGGTGGAAGTGGCTGGAGCAGCTCTGACCCAGCAGCTGGTGGACACAGCTTCTTTACTAGCTGTCCTGCTGTTTGGCCTGCTCTTCTTCCTGGTCACGGTGGCGGTGTTTGTCACGCAGGCGTATGAGAGCTACAGGAGGAAGGACTACACCCAAGTCGACTACCTGATCAATGGCATGTACAGTGACTCTGGAGTGTGATGCAGGAAGACACGTGGCTCTGGACCTTGGTCTTGCACAGTATGACCACAGTGGCTGCTGTTTTTTGAAGAAGTTGGAATAAAGTAGCAAATGGAGCTGATGGAAAACAACCTGGATTATTTTATTCTTTTCTTAATGTTTTCTTTTGGCTTGTGTAGCATTTCGTTTCTAACACTCGATCCTGAACTTTGAGGATGAAGAGCAGTCTTAATGAGTTTGTGTAGATCAGCTGTCAGTGCTGAAAGCATACAATATTCATCCTTTCCACATCACATTTCTGTTGATCAGTATGATCAATATGACCATAATATCTCTAATACCTTTTCAGACTTAACTGAAATATGTGGAGAAAAAAACTCTCTTTACAACATGGCAGCCAATTGTTAAATGCAGTTGAATGAATTTTTTAACATTTCATAAACCATAATTTCTTTTCAAACTGAAACTTGACTTGAATGTCTATATAAATATAACATCTGAAATACCCCTGCTTTAATACTGATATCAGTTTCGCTTTAAAAACATCTAAATCTAGTAGTATTTATTTTATAGGATTCTGTTGAGAGGTTATAGTAATATCCTATCTTCAGTAGATAACTTGGTGTCCTTTTAGTACAGATATCAGTTTTTTCCTAGAGGTTGAAGCTAACAGATAATCTAAAACCAAAGCAGATTCCTACACTATCAAACATTTCCATTTTAAAGACATTTAGACCAATTTATTAGATTTATTTTTTTATGAACCGTCATACAACTTTCACTTTTTTATTAAATGATTTTAATTTTTAATGGAAGTATGTGGTCAGTAGTAATGAAGACTGATATTTATAACATTAGTCTGTATCATCTTATTGTCATTATATAATATTTACCTGAATTTTTAAAGAGTTTTGATTCCTCAGTTGTATTAAAGTGGCTCAGGCTGGATATACTAACATGTTCCATTTTGTTGTATTTGATGTGGCACAACCACAAAGAGCTCTGGACATTTTTCCCCTTTGGCATTTTGTACAATTTCAACTTTGGTTGTTTTCAATCGGACTATTTTTGTTAGGAAAATAACTTTAATTACTAATTACAAATGACAATTTTTACTCTAACAGTAGATTATTTGCTATAATCTACTGTTAGAAAACTTGCTCTCCAGTTAGTATCATGTATTGACAGAAGGTCAGCTAAAGGGAGCCACATTTGGAACGCCATGATAAATTTTTCATGCATGCAGCTTCCAGCTGGCTACGGGGCGAACTGAGCCAGAGCTTCTCACCACCATAACTGATCATGTTAAGCAGAAGATCAAATATTTGCTCTGTAAAGGTCTGGAGGTGTTTGAGTGCAGGACAGTTTTAATAACTCATAACCTCTCAACAGAATAACTCTTCAGAAAGTTTCAGTGTAAATCAGGATATCTCCTCAGAACAAGTTGATGCATCAAGACGATTGCTATGCCATGAACTGTGAACAAATCACATTATACTACAGATGTTTTATGCATTGTTTCACATAGTTTTGCACACATTATATTCTGATAGAAAGGGAAGCAGGGCTGGTACTACATTGAAAGCTCCTGTTCATGTATTCTACATGATGAAGCTCAGTGTCCATACCACGACTCTGACAAATCCTTCCCTCTATACCCCTTACATTTTCAGTTTGGTTTTCTACACTTTTTTCAAACATATTAATTTAGTCATTTCTTATTGTGTGCATGTTGCCTGTAGCAGAGGTGGCTTGTTGATCTGAATAACTGCACTGAAAGAGGTTCAGCATCACTGATTGAAACAAACAGCTTCAGTTCCAGTCTGCTGACCCACTGGCTCTGGGTTTCAGCAGGGCGCTCACTGGGAAGAATGTAACTGTTATCAAAGGACACAGTTTTGTTTTAAATTTAGATCTGCATGAAATGACTGAATGTGTGAGAACCATCTGTTTGGTTTGAGGCCCAGAGTATGTCCCAGGTAGAAACCTGGAGCTGTCTCTGCAGTAAAGGTGGATGTTTGGACCTGGCAGCTGACGTTTGGGGGAGCAGAAGACCAGTGGAGGTGTTAAAGTCACTCCTACAACCTTCTCTCAGCCAGCAGATCACAGTTTTGTCTGTTGGCCTCAAGTAATCTTTACATTTCAGCTTGTCTTAAAGCCTCCTTAAGTCTTACTTGACCTGTTAGATGGCTATATATCTCATGCTGGTTTAATTGTCTATGAAAGCACAGGAGTTTTTTTGAAACAAAGCTCCAAAATTTTTGTTAAATTTCATGAAATTCCATTGAGCTTGATAGAAGTAGACCATGCTTTCCTTCACAACTGTGTTTATTTTGAGTTTGACTTCAGTGGAAGCTTTTGAATGCATTTAATCTTCATTCTTCCATACGATACGTGTTAATGACCTCAGTCTGTTCCTTACAACGGTTCAGATGTATGTGGTCTTGGAGGTACCTAATTGTAATTAGTGTGTGTTTATAAGTCCATGATTGTAAAGATTTTGAAAGGACTTTATCATTTTTGGAAATTGTTGTTTTTTTGTTCCTTTTATTTTTTCTTTAACTGGGTGTGTTTCCAATAATGTTGTCTTTTTTTAATACATCTACTAGTTTTCTGAAGATATTGTTTTTTTTTTTTATCAAGAATTCACAATGCAACACTTTTGTATCTTCTTTTTCTGGTGCCAAATTCTTTTTGATATATATTTTTTTTCATGATCAATAAAGGCAGTATGTATGATTTAGAGTGATTTTTAGAAACTTTTGCCAAATTAAAGCACATTGTTTTCTGACAAAGCCAAGGGAAATTTAAAGCCATAGTGAGTTTGTGACTAATGTAACATTTGAGCGGTTCTCACAACCCACACCCTGAAATATTATTGGTGTGACAGAATATTTTTGTTGTGCATGTGAGATGCCTTGGCGTTGAATAATTTAGATTTTTTTTTTTTTTTTGCACAAAAAACTGTTTTCTCTGTACATTGTTCATGGAAGCAGAGAACCTCCATTAGCCATATCTAAGACTGTTTTGTCTGTCGTGCCAGTCTGTGTTGAAGGTTTCAGATCAGTGTCCGTCATGTCAGTAGGATTGTAATAAAGTGATGTTTATGTTTCTGATGTCAGTTGGAATCTGGTGTGTGTTGGATTTATCTATGTTTGCAAAAACTGATGTCGAGAAATGAGGAATGATGTCACCTGCTACGTGCCAAGCAAATATTGTACTGATGCACTTTTCAGATATATTTTTACTTTGTAGAAAATGAATAATAAAGAACTTAAGATAAATTTCTGTGTTGTTTGAGGTCATTATCACTGATGAATGCCTGTCAGTCTGGATGGACGTCCATGTCCTGATAGGTCAGCAGCTTCTCCATCCTGACATCACAGTATTTTATGTTGTGTGTTGTTTTAAATGGAGACATTGAATCTTAGTGGGACTCACCTTAAGCAACTTTTTGGAAAAATATACTTCTAGGAGTAGTTTTGCTATTTTTTTTAACTTTTACTTGAGAAATGTCATTTTAAAGTAATACTACTCTTGATTTCTGGCTACTCTACACAACTTGAGTTCCAAACAGACACGATGTTAAAGTGAGACTTCATGGTTATAATGCTATTTTCCATCTGCTTTGTCATTCTGAACCAAGTGAATATAGAGTGTAAACTGTTTTTTATTATAGTCTTTAAAATACCATGATTTGCATATAATAATTTCTACATTTTTGTCTCTCTGATTACATTTTTTTTTAAATATATGAAATCTGATGTTATGATCAGTTACTCAGTACTGAATCAAAAGGCTGAATCACCTCCTCAGTATTCAGTCAAGTTCTCCAGAATCCTGTTAGTGACTTCAATATTTGGCTCATGTGTATTTAAGCAGATACATATGTAAAGGTTGCAGGACACCTGGGGCTGAAGACCCCTAGTCTGGTCCCTTTTTCTCCTCAGTATAGGTCAGACACCTCTGACGTTGTCTCTGGGTCAGGAGTGGTTTGACACTGGGAAGGCAACGTTTGTAGCCCATGTTTAGCATTTGACTGTGTGGCTCTTCTGGAATGAATTTTGCTTGACATTCTCATAAGGTTAAGGGTCTTCCTGTTGTTGGTGCACTGAACTTAACTGAAAACTGATGAACAGTGGATAAGTGGCTAATACTTAGAGAGACATACATAGATAGATGGATAGTCAGATAGATTATGTACTTTTTCTGAGGCATCTTTCCCGTATCTCTTAATTATCTAATATCTCAAGAACTTCTGTCTGTTTCAACTTGAGTGTAGAGACAAAAATTACATGTATAACTTGTCAACATGATGTGCATTTAAAGATCTAAAAGAAAAACAACACCACATCATACTCCAGTCTAAATAAATGAAAGAACAGATAAGAATAAAGTAATTAACATTATTCAGAGAAGGTCACAACATCATGTTAAAGGCTTTTAAACTTTGGAAAGCTATAGTGAGAACCATCATGTACAAATGAAGAAAGTATGGAGCAAGAGTTGCCGGCCTCCCAGAATTACTCCAATAGAATGTCTGGGCAGTCTGTTTTGGATGTTAAGGTGACAGATAGCAAAAATAAAACAATCCAAAGCACACTAGCAAACCCATCTCTGAATCAAAAAGAAAATAATGGTCTTGAAGTGGCTTAGTTAAATTCTGAACTTAAACCTGATTGAGATACTGTGACCAACCATTTATGTTAGAAAACCATCCACTGTGGTTGAAATAAAAAGTTCTGCAAAGAAGAGTGGCCCAAAGTTCCTCTACTGTGATGCAGAAAGTGAACTGCCTGTCAGCTCAAACGCTTGATAGCAGTAACTGCTGCCAAAGCAACTAGTGATGGGACATGCTCAAAACAATGGACTCTAAGAGCGACTTGTCTTCTTAAATATACTAAGAAAAGGAAACGACTCAACCTATCCAAGCTGAGCATTACATTTTTTTGAATGACACTCAGGACACCAAGTATAGGTGTCCTACACTGACACCTATTATCCAGCTTGGTAAACTGCATTAACCAAACTGTAATCCAGTTTGTTTCTGTTTGTTAGTTTGATCATCATTTGATCCATCATCTTACATGCTTATCCCTAGTGGGCTTGAGAGGAGTGCTGGTGCTCATCTCCAGCAATCAACGGGTAAAATGCGGGGTCACCCTGGGCAGGGCAACACAGGACAAACAGTCATGCACACACACACACACACACACACACACACACACACACACACACACACACACACACACGCATACACACACACACCGAGAGTTTAGAGGGACCAATTAACCTAAAAGGAGGAAGTGGGAGTATCCAGAGGGAACATGCAAAACTCCATGTAGAAAGATCCCTGGCCTGCAATCGAACCCAGAACCTTCTTGCTGCAAGGCAACAGTGCTAACAACTGCACAGCCACTTTCATAACAGAATACATAAAATTATAACAATATAATAATAATAAATCTTGCCTAAAAACCCACCTGTTTAGAGTTGTATTTGAAATGTAATTAATTACGAATTTAATGATGGCACTTGACTTAATGTAATGTTTTGATTGCTGATGTTGCATGACTTTCTGTTTGTGTGTTTGTTTTGATGTAAAGCACTTTGAAATGCCTTGCTGCTGAAATGTGCTATACAAATAAAATTTGATTTGATTTTGATGCAAACATAAGGCATTGATATTTGTAAAATCATGCTTTGTAGTAGTTGTAGTTGTAGTTGATAAATTAAGAGCCATTTGGGAGCTGAAAAAGCCTAATTTTGCCTCATTAGGAACAACCAGTTATGTGGATTAGGGGCAGTTGCTTTTTCATGTTGGGCTGGGTTGTTTTTTTCACTTAGTAAATAAAATCCTCATTTGAAAACAACTTTTTTGTTTTTACTCAGATTACCTTTGTCTGACACTAAAATTGCACAGTTTTTCTGACACATTCTAGTGTCAGACAAACAGATCAAAGCAAAGACTTTCTTTAAATATTTATGAAGACACAAACTGGAATAAATATTCCATCTGTAAAATCTAAAATCTGAACTTTGAAATGTTCAAACTGAGTGCTTCTCAGAAATGATTCTCTGTGTGTGCAAACATCTGGAAGACCCACCTGTTCCTTGTTACTCATGGATGAAGGTATTTCTCCCACACAGCTATATTACTCCTGAGGATGGACTTGGACAGACTGAGGAACGCAGACCAACGTAGAGACGGTTTTGATATTTGTAGAGATCAAAGCAAGGCCAGTGGCTGAGGCGACTGCTGAAAGAAAACATGTTTCACAGCAGCATTCCAGAAACAGGCTGAGGCTGGAAGGGTGGAAACTGGAGGAGTAGAATAGATGCATCAGGCTTCTTCAGGTTAACTATGCACCATCAGTTGCAGAACAAATCGTTGGATCCCTTCTAGGTCCTTAATGTTGATTTGATGCACTACATTTGTCTTTTAACAACACTTTCACCCACCCTGTTGTTTCACTGCTAGCCCAGCTTCACTCTTAACCTACTCATGAACAATAAAACTGGTCAACATAGGACACTTTTCAGACAAGCCTTTCAGTGAAATCTGAAATATTTTGGTGACTTTACTTAAACTGAAAAAATGCAGAACTGAGAAACAAAAACCAAACTAGTGATCTGGTGATCATGAAATTCTCCATATACTGCAGTATGTTCCCATTTTGCACAGTTTGCTTCATATGGGAATAATTTATTTTAAAAAAAATCACAGTATGAAAGCTTTTCTGGAGTTAAGTAAATTACACTCACAGCTAGTGTTGTAATCAAAACAATAATACCTGCTCTGTATTGGACTGTGGTGAGGAACAGCTGCCTGGCTCTCTTCACATATAGAGAAAATCAGAAGGGGGAAACATGTGCTTTGAGTTTACAGGGCCTTTAAAGTGGAGGCCAGTTGGAGAAGAAAAGAAATGCCTTTAAAAAGGAGAAAAGAAATAACTGGCTTAGCTGTAGGTGTGTGTGAGGACAGAGATCTGTGATGTTAAAAGTTTGTTTTCATCAGAGGCAACACTACATGTCTATCTTAATCATAGAAGCACTGTCTATAGTTTGTACCTGCTTATCCTTGCAGAGTCGTGGGGAGAGTTTGTCTTTTGTGTCTGTCTGGAACACAAAGGAGAAACAATCATGCACATAAACTCATGCCCTGGAACAATTAACAAGTTTAATTAGTCTTTAATTACAGTTTTGACTTTGAGAGGAAGCCGGGGAGAACCAAAGCATGCACATGGAGTACATGCAAACTCCATTCAGAAAGATCAAGCCAGAATGCAGGACCTGCTGTGGAAAGACAACAGTAATAGCAACTGCACTACCATGCAGTAACAGGAACCCCCATCTTTGTTTAATGTGTGGTAGCCTGTGTGAGGTGTACTCCACAATCGAAAGTGGATGGATGGATGGATGGATGGATGGATGGATGGATGGATGGATGGATGGATGGAGAGTTGTTGTTCCATATAATCACTTTCTTTCAAACTGCCATAGTTTACACTCATGATTTTCTTTGCTGTTGGAATGGACATTTTATTAGTATGTGATGCAGATGTGGTGTCAGTCAGTGGTCCAATGGATTTGGATGGTAAGATGATAGATGAATAAACTGTTTTCTTCCTTCTCCAACAAGGTTATGTCTCCAGAAACACACACACACACACACACACACACACACACACACACACACACACACACACACACACACATGCACGCACACGCAGACTCAAACACAAACACACCCCTGTCTCAACATACTTGTGTGGACTTGCATTGAGTTTTATTCATTTCTATAGCCTAACCCTGACCTTTTCCCTAAACCTAACCACCTTGAGTATATACCTAACCTTGACCTAAACTCAATTTACACCTTCGTCCTAAACCTAACCCCAACCTAAAAACGTTGTTTTTGCATTGTGTGGACATGTCAAAATGTCAATGTTGGTTTTTTGTCAAGACTAAGTCCACACAATGATAGGTAATTTTTAACCCACAAACACACAAACAAGGTGCATCGTGCTACATTCACTAGACAGTAAAAAGAATAGATATACAATATTTAGTATATTACATTGCATGTTACTTGAAAGATATGCATTGCTTTACCTTACTTGGAGAAGCAGTGGGATTTTCAGCGCACTGACTCAGCTAACTATTGCTTGCAACAAAGTTGACAATAATGTATTCTTCACTGCTTTTTAAACATAATACACTTCGCCCTGTGCTATGTTGAGACCGGTCTGTTTTCTGCATAAAGTCAATAAAGGAGGAGTGTTTCTGTGTTTTTGTGTGTGTTCTTTCCTGTCAAACCACCAGTCAGTGATGACAGAAAGCTGTTCATCCTGTCTAGTTCTGCTTCTGGTGTCTTGGTGTGGCAAAGGAGTTGTTCCTCTCCACTGTCACTACATACATGATGAAGAAGGGGTTTACTGTGCATCAATGCAATAGATGTACAGTATCCTTAGATAACAGTCTTCTTGACTGGGTTCATAAACTGAATTTTATTGCATTGTATAACATATATTTTGAATCTGTCTATATGATTGAATTTATTTGATTTCTCAATAAAATTGCATTTATTTAAACTACGAGCAAAATACTTACAAATACTTACTGAACAAAATTTGTGGGTTCAAACACTAAAACAGGAACTGCATGTGCCAAACAATATGTGTTACTGATTTGATGATTTACTTATTTAATGAAAAGTAAGCCAGTGGTAATAATTAGTTATCAGATGCAAAAATAACCCATAGGATGGTTAATTTCTGCTACCTGTATCTGTGCTGGGATCATATATCACATTACATGCACAGTTGCTGATTGCCAACTTTCTGCTTGGAATCATAACCAAATAAACATGGCCAAGTCTTTCCTGGCTCCACTAATTCTTCTTTTTTATTTTGTGAAAGAGGAAATAGACAGATGGTAAGTGTCATTGGGCCAGGACTCAAACTCATGATGGCTGCGTTGAGGACAAAGGCCTCCATCTGTAGATGGGCGAAATGCTTTACCCCTGCAACACCGGCACCCTGGCTCCACCAAGTCTTTAATGAATAGCTCAAGTCAGAGAAATAACTCAATATTTCTCAACAATAGTTGTATGAATTTTCAACTATTTACTGAATTGTTATATTTTAGTCTGCGTAACCTCGAGATCTTGTATTTGTCATTCAACCTTAGGAAATAGAGATATAGTCAGTTATATATGTAAAAAAAATATGCCCAATGATGCAGAGTACAACACAAACTCATTTTGGAACAGAAATACAGTTAATACAGAGAGTCAGTCACTGTTCAGCACTGGGTTCCACTCAGCACACCTCCGTGTCGAGGGATGACACGGAGCAAAGCAAAGAATGGAGCGCACATTCTGCTTTCATCTATTCCTTGCTTTCTACCCTCGCAAAGGGGTATTAAGCTGTTGTCATTAGTTTTATCTTTGTGTGACTGTTGCCAGCCTTACATGTTATGTTTATTATCATGCAGTGTGCATGTAAGCAGAAAGAAGACAGAGCGGAAGGACACAGAATTAAGCATCCATAACAGAATAAATAAGAGTCAGGCTAAACTTATTTAGTGATATGGTCATTTTATTGTTGAATAACTGGTAAACTCTGAAAGAATTAACCCATACAGTTTTAAGGCCCCATAGCATTAAACAGAAGTGGGCCTTTAAATAAAATTTTGCATTGGTTCGCAAACAATCTTGGGGTGGCTCTGGGTGAGCGTTGACATAGCCATAGCCTTGTATTTCATCTAAAGTCAAAAGTTATTATTTTTCTAATATTAAAAGCTGACTGAATTCTGAAAGCTATTTAGGGTTAATAACAGACACCATTAACACGTAAGTGAAGCTTGTAAAAAAAAAGAAAAAAAAAAGAAACGTATCCGCCTCAAATTCAGTGACGTATAAAAGGTGCCGCCCACAACGGCCTGCCTTCTTCTCCGTGCGCGAGCTCGACAGTCCAAAGTATAAAGAAGCGCGAGCGTTATTATCAGTGGAAAAAAGTAGATTCTGTAGGACCTACCGCGCGCGGACAGAGGCAAGCTTTCTCCTAGCTATCTGCCCCTTGTGATACAAACCTACATGTCCATCAGGATAAACGGACCTCTTTCCAACTTCAGGAGTAACCATCTTAAAATGGAGTGGGAATTATGGATTTAAAGCAGAGAGGACTTGAAATGGGTGGTCTGCTGGCAGAGCTGCTGCTCTGGAATTGCCTGCTGATGGCGGTTGATGGTACGTAGAGTTTTTTTTGTTTACAGCATTGCTGTTTTTGCTGGTCTGGGGTTGTGGATCTGAACTTTGTAAGGAGATATCTGTTCTTAGTTGGGCTGCAGTGCGCTTTACACTCTTGCTGTGTCCCCTTAACTGGTACACGGCACCGTCCTCAGCCATACCTTGTAAGAAAGTTGAGGTTTTCGTGTCCCAAGGGTACAGCACCAAGGTGGGCTACTGTAGTTCCAGTGGTCCAACCCAAACTTTACTTTGTTGTTTTTTTTCTCACACACTGGAAGTAGTGTTTTTGTGGAGCTAACCTGTCGTGGTTCTTGGCGCGGTCGGTGGAGGACTTTCTGTCTTGGTGAATCTGAAGTTTAAAGGCAGCCTCGCTGTTTTCTCGGGCCTCTCAGCTTCCAGCCATTGCTGCTCGGTGTCGGGTGTCAGACAGCCTTTTTGCGTTAAAGATGAAAAGAACTCTGCGTGTTTATTTGGGAAAGAAAACGCTGTTAGGCTCAGCAAAGCTATCTCCCAGGATCTGTTCCTTTATTATCCTTTTTTCGACTGAGTCTGATTTGCGGTTTTACTTCTCAGTCAGTGAAACCGTACGCAGAGGTTAGACTTTCTTAAAAGAAGGTTTGGATGGTGGAAATTGAAGTTGAGAATGGCTTAAAAAATCCCCAGATTTTGCTAATATATAATATTTCCTTGGAGATCTCAATAAGAACATATTTTGTGTCCAAGAAACCCAAATGGAATGAAGGCATTTCCTGCAATGTGCTTTAAAACAGTTTTTTATAATCCACCTGTCAGTATGATACTATGACATGATGGTGGCTACCTGCAGGATACTGGCTTCTTTTGGTTCTCTAAACTGACAGACAATCAGGAAATAGAGGTTTGCAGAACTGATTCTGCAAACCTCTGAATCAGTTCAGAGGTTTGTTTTTATGATTTATTATAAAATTTATTGTCGTTATAATACATATAATTTTATTGCATGGTTTCTATAATAACAATAAAGATGATTATTATTATTAATGTTCTCTGTTGAGTATTGATTGGGATGGCAATTGTAACACAGCAGATTTGAAGCTTAGTCTTTTTTGAAGCTATTTTTTTTCATTAAAGACACTGATGTACATGAAAAATCTAGAAACAACATGTTTGTATGGCATTACCAATAAATGCCAGGTACAGAACAAAAATGAAATTGTTTCTTGTCTAAAGGAATGAGTATAAGGTAAGTAACACAAAGAGTCAGAAGAATAAATCTAGTTAACCTCTTAACGGTCACCCAAAAAACACTTCCATCAATGAGAAAACCAGCATCCTCCTGATAGTTAAGGGGATTATTAAACAAAGAAAGCTGACTGTCTCTGTGCTTTAGTTGTTAATTGCATAACTATTTTGAAAACAGTAATTTGTTGTAGAATTAGCATAGAAAGCGTACACTGCAGTGCATATTGATGTGACTTATATTTTGTTGCTGTTAATTTCTGCACGCTAATGTAGTTTTAAATGCAAATGGTAGACAGTCTTACATCCTCATCCGTTCATATGTGCTTGAAAATGTGAAGAACTGGTGAGTTTGAGTTTCAAGCTAAATTCTGTGGTTGATTTAGCAGCAAAGCTTCTCTACTAACCTCACTGAAAGGCAGCTCTACCACTGATATTGTGCTTGTGTTTGCCTCGTTTCCAGAAAATATTGTTCATGACTTAATTTGGTAATCCACCTTTCTTTATGTATGTAAATTACATCCTGACCAACAAAAACAAACAAAAAACAGACAGTTGAAATAAGTCAAATTATTTGATTCAATTTAAATATATAATCCTCTCTTCCATTGAAGAATGACTGATATTGTTGCAGACAATTATCCTAAATTAGAATATAACTTGTCAAACCTTTGTGTGAAAATGTGCTTGGTGTTTTTTTTAATTCAAAATATAGACCTTATAATTGTAAAACCTGCCAACTGAGACCAAACTGATTGGACCTTTTTGTTTTTTTGTTGATGTTTTAAAATCTTATTCTGATAAACATACATAATTTATGCTCATTTCATTCATAAGATAAATTATCCACTGCAGTTTCCATGACAAAAGTAGTCTTTTAGAGCACTGTGGAAATTGATTTGATAACGTTGTATTCCATATTTAAGCAGCAAAGCATAAGCCCAGAACATATATATGTATATATATATATACCCCAAGTAAGGGTATTATTAGCACTTATTTGGGGCAAGTACACTGGGAGAGACCCTGAGCTAAAGATAATATCAGTTAATTAACATTTTCCATCCATAAACACGTCTTTGCCTCTGTTCTCTGTGAATAGTCGTCTGCATGACACGATGCTGCAAAGTGCAAACCAGGTCTTTGTAAATAATCTCAGTGAATTGTTTTAAAGATGTGAAAGCATCCAATCATAACAGATTCTGAGTTGTTTTGGGAACTGACTTGTTCCCAAATGTCACTCATTCCTCTTCACACTGGTGAAGAGATATATAATGAGATGTATAATGCATCCACGAGCAGTTTATACTCGTAGATGCCCCTGCAAGGGGGGATGGGGCGTATTGGCTGAAAGGAAGGAAGATATTTTCTTCACGCCTTCCCAATTGGGACCAGTAAATATGTGTGAGCATATTTCAGTTTATGTGTGATCTGAACCCAGAGAAATCAAAGCAGACTGCCACAGGCTTCCTTTTGTCATATGAACATTTGTGTTAGCTTATCTGTGTACATGACTTTCCATCTGTAATTTCTTTTTCATTTTTGCCTATTATATTTTTCTTATGTCTGCCTCAGATTCATTCTAAAGCAACAAACATATAAAACAATATTAATCTCTTTTAAAAGACCCATAATCATTGTCTTCATCATTCATTATCTGAAACTTATGCAGATCCAGAACAAAATTCACATATTTGAACTGTTTGGTCACTTGCTATGCTTCAATTTTCAATCACAGTTCTTCCAATTGAAGACTGAATTTTACATAAGTTCCTAAATTATGAACCATTTTCTTTCTTGTCATTGGATTATAAAGATACAGTTGTTCAGTACTGTAGCAAATGATAAAATGTTATAAATTAATAAAGATGTTTAAGAAAGTTGTGGTGAAAAGTGACTTGCTGGACTTGCTGGATTTTAACAATTTTCATAATGGCTAAACTTGACTAATATGACTGGATGGGTTTGACTGTATTTTTATGCAAAGCGATTTACCAAGAGAAGAATGTTAAATCTTAGTCTATAGGTATGAAAAAACTTTGAACCTATAAATCAGAAACTGTTCTCCATGCTAAAAGTGATTTTGGATGACATTTTCTTAATTGGAGATTAAGTACCTATCAACCTTAATGATTGATCTCTAATTTCATGTTTTGTAAAGTATTAACCTGATACCATTTCGTCTTCATTTAGACTTGACAAAATGGGAAATATATGTTAGTCATTTTTATTTAAAATGTCAATAATTATTTATGTTGTGTGAGAGAGAAGTTGTCATGATGCGTTTGTTGGTGGACCCTAAATGCTGACAGGAGCTGGGTGCGTGGATTATATTGACTGTTCTTTAATGAAAAAAACCCTGAAATCTTACAAAAATCACAGGGAATGCAGGGAGCCAGAGCAGAACAAAAACAGGAACCAGGAACAAAAATCAAGCAGAATACCAAAGTGGAAGT